AAAAATATTGTTGTTTTTTTATTGTTTAATTAATTATGTCAACATATTCAATGCTTTTACAATGTTAGAATAAAAGTATTAAAAATAATACACAGAGAAATAATTTCTTATTAGTTGACTGGTTGGCCATCGTTGTCAAAAATTGTTTTACACACAGAACATGTAGTATGAGGCATCGACTACATTGTAAATGGAGATGTTTCAATAAATTTATTTTCATATACGGTATCTATACATATACTTAAGTATTAACATTATACTTTTATAACTTGCGTTATTATAAAGGTATGCAATCAGGCACGGATCTAGAGCAAAAAATTGGAGGTTGCGCTGGGCCCCTAGGCTTTCACCCTGGATACGTCCCTGGGTAGTGGGTACAATATAAACAAAACGAGTATTTTAATGTTGAATATTTCGTGAGATTTTATTGTTTGATTTTTGAAAAATATTGATAAATATTAATCATTCAAATGAACTATACACCAGATTACTAAATAGGTGTCCCACACAAAACTCATCATTCTTATTTTCAGTTTATTTAACCCAAAAATATTAAAAATAATGTGTGACGTTTTGATTGTGGATACAGAGATACTTACTCCAAAAATTATATAATTTAATATAATATATATGTATATTAGGAGTGTTTATAATTTTAAATATAAAATAAATTTRGTAATATTTTTACATTTGTTGTTTGAATAGATTTATTTACATAATTTTGACATATTTAAAATAATGCTTTAAGGTACCTAGCTCGATAAGATTCAATATTAGTAAAAAATAAAAATGAAGAAAAATGTATATATCATACAAACTTTAAAGCTTTAAACAAACATTGTACACACTAATTTAGTTAATTTTTGTAAATATAAATTACAACCTAATGAAATTTATTTGAGTTTAGAAACTTTTTAAAATGATACTTACTTTCCATTTCTTGTAAAATATATCGTTTTTAATTTTCGTGTTTTAATAAATTTAGGCATACGCATAATACATAATATTATATATTTAGTGCCTATAACACGCTTCCGAAGCTTTTAAATTGTACATAAGTATATGTATAGCGAACATTATATTTTCAGCACTCAGAGGAAAACGGTAGTATCGTTTTGCCAAAAACTACCGTCATCGATCCGCTACCCAGCACTGTATATAATATACAAATGTATATATATATACGAACGTATATAGGTGGGGTCTTGGCAGGGAATTTAAGAAACTAGGTCACCAGAACTGTCACGCCCTACATTTCATGGCACCCTCACGATATACATGTAGACATTGCAGTGCACCTGCCATACATATACAACACCAACCCCTTCTAATACATTAAATATTTTTTTCACCCACCAAAAATAAATCATGTATCTAGCCATTTTATTTCAATCATTGCAGCAAAAACAACTCGACGAGTATTTCTTGATTTTTCATCTATATATACGCACTTTATAGTTTATTATACATTTATACTGTGAATGGTAAATATAAAAAGAAAACGAACAAATTTAACTTATGCACGGAGAACTATGACTATGATTATCATCTATATGTTATCGATTACTCATTATATCGATATTGTCATTTAAAATACAAATCGTGTATAGGTACGTATTAACTATTGGCCAGTGTGACTAATAATAATAATAAAATAAATGTCAGAAAGGATTTATTCTTACAATATATTATGAGTAGGTGGTATACATATATGACATATCTTATTAATTATTATAATGTCCGTAAGTAAACATCGGTGATTTAAATATCCTTACAGACAAGTGAATACTGTAGGTACTCAGTACTCAGTTGGTACTTATATATTATGTACTGATTGTACTCGTTATATGACTGTATTTGGATTTCACTATGAAGGTACTGCAATTGAATGTCCAAAATTATTTAATGTCCATCAACACGAATACCATAAACATACAAAGATCATAACGATATTTTATCAAGCRGGGTCAACGCACGTTTAATATACTTCATCAGTTTATCAAATTGATTTTAACTCCAACAGCAGATGGTGTTTAGGTATAGGTAGGTATTAGGTACTTAATTAGTTATTATAATCGCAACCGTTATAATATTATAGTATTATACATTATTGGTATATAGGTAGACTATGTAGTAGAATATATANATTATTGTATTTATTTTACCTATGGTAAAGATGAACGTAAACGAAAACTTATAGTGCAATTAATATTTAGTTTAATTATTATTTTTTTTTTATTATTTATTAAACATCAACTGTACAGGTTATTAGCATTTTACAAAAATTTTACATTTTTACAATTTACATTTTATTATACAAATCGATATTTTTTAGTTATAAGATTATATTATGGAAGTTGGAAAATGACCAATTGCTTCATACCGGTTGTCAGGGATGTCAAAGTGTTTCATTGAAGTTTGGGCAGTGGACGATGATAATATGTTTGAAGGAGTAGTTTTCGTTGTATGTTGGGCATAGGGGTGGATCTGTCTTTGCCATAAGGTGTCCATGTGTACATTTTGTAGTTTGATTATTGTATGACCACATCGTTATGGTATAATCATTTTGTTCTGCATTAGATCTTCTTATGACACTCGCATTCTATTAATCTTGCTTATATCCCCCCTCCCTAAGGTTATATTTAATAATTTTGTTCTGAGCCATTTGTATCAAATACTTAATAATGACTTAATCAATAAATAAATATCATAAACATACAATCAAAACGTGTATAATTATATCATTAAATTATACACATCGTATTAAATATTATATTGCAATAAAAGTTATTGTGTAGCATCAGAGCTGTTACATACCTTGCATCCCTCGCACGACGTGACGCCATAGTGATAACCWGACGCTTTGTCGCCGCACACACGACACGGTACGAACGATTTGGCAGGCGTAGTGTTTGAATCGGCTGCCGCAAAGTGTTGATCTGTAAACAAAACGTATATTGACAGAGATTAAAAATCAATGTAGAATATTATAATATTACTTTAAGATTTTATTAAAAAATAAAAGGGGAAAAAAATAAAAATATTGTTGTTTTTTTATTGTTTAATTAATTATGTCAACATATTCAATGCTTTTACAATGTTAGAATAAAAGTATTAAAAATAATACACAGAGAAATAATTTCTTATTAGTTGACTGGTTGGCCATCGTTGTCAAAAATTGTTTTACACACAGAACATGTAGTATGAGGCATCGACTACATTGTAAATGGAGATGTTTCAATAAATTTATTTTCATATACGGTATCTATACATATACTTAAGTATTAACATTATACTTTTATAACTTGCGTTATTATAAAGGTATGCAATCAGGCACGGATCTAGAGCAAAAAATTGGAGGTTGCGCTGGGCCCCTAGGCTTTCACCCTGGATACGTCCCTGGGTAGTGGGTACAATATAAACAAAACGAGTATTTTAATGTTGAATATTTCGTGAGATTTTATTGTTTGATTTTTGAAAAATATTGATAAATATTAATCATTCAAATGAACTATACACCAGATTACTAAATAGGTGTCCCACACAAAACTCATCATTCTTATTTTCAGTTTATTTAACCCAAAAATATTAAAAATAATGTGTGACGTTTTGATTGTGGATACAGAGATACTTACTCCAAAAATTATATAATTTAATATA